GGTGATGTCACTGAGGTGTTGATCGACTGGATCCGCGCAGCTCGTCTCCAGCTCAGGCAGAGCTTCGGCTCGGACTTTCCTGTTCTGCGTCTGCACTCTGACAGAGGTGGAGAGTTCTCCTCTGGCCTTCTGCGAGCCTACTGTCGTGCACGAGGCATCCGCCAGACCTTCACGCTTCCGGACTCTCCACAGCAAAATGGGATTGCTGAGCGCCGCATTGGCATGGTCATGGACGTCGCCCGTACGTCCATGATGCATGCGGCTGCCCCCCATTTTCTGTGGCCGTTTGCGGTTCGGTACGCGGCGCATCAGATCAACCTTCACCCCAGGGTCTCCATGCCGGAGACCTCCCCAGCTTTGCTGTGGACGGGGAAGGTTGGCGATGCGTCTGCGTTCCGTGTCTGGGGATCTCGGGCGTTTGTCCGCGACTTGTCTGCGGACAAGCTGTCCCCTCGTGCTGCTCCTTGCGTCTTCCTTGGCTTCCCCCCTGACGCGCCAGGGTGGCAGTTCTACCACCCCACCTCTCGCCGTGTTCTGTCCTCCCAGGACGTCACGTTTGACGAGTCGGTCCCCTACTACCGCCTCTTCCCCTACCGCACTCCGTCCCTCCCCCCTGCCACCGCTCTTCCTTGTGCCAGGTCCCCCCCCGGTAGACCCCCTCCCCCCTCAGGGTCCTGCCCCTTCAGGTGTGTCCCAGGTAGACGCAGTCGAGCCTGTCGAGGTTACTGGTGACTCTGGTGCTGCTGAGGGTGCTGAGCCTGGGGGTGCTGACTCTGGGGGTGCTGAGCGTGTGGGTGCTGCGCCTGGGGGTGCTGAGCCTGAGGGTGCTACTACTGGGGGTGCTGAGCCTGGGGGTGCTGAGCCTGGGGGTGCTACTACTGGGGGTGCTGAGCCTGGGGGTGCTGAGCCTGGGGGTGCTACGCCTGGGGGTGCTGAGCCTGGGGGTGCTGAGCCTGGAGGTGCTGAGCCTGGGGGTGCGGAGCCTGAGGGAGCTGGGCCTGCTCGTGTGGCGTCTGGCGGTGCTGAGCCTGGAGGTTCTCCGGGTGCTTCGTCTAGGCGGGAGCCACTCTCTCCACAGGAGCTGCGAGAGTGGTTTGCCCGGCGCTGGAGGCGTGCTGCTGGAGCTGGAGGTTCTTCGACTGCTGAGGGTGCTGGTGCCGCGGGTCCCGGAGGTGCTCGTACTGGGAGTACTGGAGCTGCTGGGCCTGCGGGTACGCCTGGAGCTGGAGCTGCTAAGGGTGTTGGTGCTGAGGCTCCTGCTGTCGGTCCTGGAGGCGGTCCTGCTGGGGGTGCTACTGGTGCTGCTGGAGGTACTGGAGCTGGAGGTGCTGCTGGCGCTGGTGCTGCCGCTGGGGGTACTGGTGCTGTCCCTGCTGTGTCTGGAGTCGCCGCGCGGCCTCGGCCGTACTTCGTTCCGCTCCTTCAGCAGGTTCTTGGTCTCCCGCCTTCTACTGGTCCTCCTCCTCCCTTAGAGTGTCCACAGCCTGTCCCGTCCCAGTTACAGTTACAGCCGGCCTCCACACTGCCCGCTCCTTCTCCCTACACTGGTCCTACTGGAGGTCTGGCTGAGCGTCGTGAGCCTGCGTCTCGCCCTGCGTCGCCTGTCCGTCTTGCTCGCACTAGTGGCCGTGGTTCGCGTCAGCGTCCTCCTCCTGTCCCTGGCACGCACCGGATGTCTCTGCGTCCGTCCACTGCTCCTCTGCGTGCCCCTTTGCCTTCTCCTCCTGAGTCCTCTCTTCCTGCTCTTCCCGACCCGGAGTCGGACTCTCTTCGTGCTGCCAGTCCTCCTGTCACGCGTCTCCTTGCTACTGTCGTCACTGACCCTTCCTTTGAGTCCACTGCTTCGTCTGCCCTAGTTGCTGAGCTCGTCGACTTTGCTGCTCGCTGTCGTCTAGACTACGCTGCTAGTCTTGTCGTTGAGTCTGAGTCTGTCTGTCCTCCGTCCGTCGGGGGTGAGTGTGCCCTTGGCACGGACGTCCTTGAGGACAGGCAGGAGGAGTTCCAGTGTTTGGCTGCTGCTTCACCTCATCTCGTGTCCGTACTGCTTACCCCTGAGGGAGACCCGGATGCACTTGACATCCCGACTCCGCGCTCTTACGCGGAGGCGATAGAGGGTCCCTACTCCTCTCAGTGGCAGGCAGCTATGGACACAGAGATGGCTTCCTGGAAGTCCACAGGCACCTACGTTGACAAGGTTCCCCCGCCTGGGGCGAACATCGTCAGTGGCATGTGGATTTTCAGGGTGAAGCGACCGCCGGGTTCTCCGCCTGTCTTCAAGGCGCGTTACGTGGCTCGTGGCTTCAGTCAGCGGCAGGGAGTTGACTACTTTCAGACCTTCTCTCCCACCCCGAAGATGACCACTCTTCGGGTACTGCTGCACATAGCTGCTCACCGCGACTACGAGCTGCACTCTCTTGACTTCAGCACTGCTTTCTTGTAGGGCAGCCTGCACGAGGAGATCTGGCTGCGTCGCCCACCTGGCTTCACTGGGTCTTTTCCTCCTGGCACCCAGTGGAGCCTCCGGCGGCCAGTCTACAGTCTCCGCCAGGCACCGCGTGAGTGGCACGACACACTGAGGACTACACTTGCGGCTCTTGGGTTTGCTCCCTCTACTGCTGACCCGTCGCTGTTTCTGCGCACCGACACTTCTTTGCCGCCGTTCTACATCCTCGTGTACGTCGACGACTTGGTCTTTGCCACAGCTGACACTGCTGGACTCGCCCACGTGAAGTCCGAGCTGCAGAAGAGACACACGTGCACAGACCTGGGTGAACTGCGCAGCTACCTTGGCTTGCAGATCACCCGGGACAGAGCACGCCACACCATTACCCTGACTCAGTCACACATGGTGCAGCAGGTCCTTCAGCGCTTCGGCTTCACGTACTCCTCGCCTCAGGCCACTCCTCTGCCTACTCGCCACTCGCTCTCAGCTCTGCCTTCGGATGAGTCCGTAGAGTCGAGTGGCCCGTACCCAGAGCTTGTTGGCTGCCTCATGTACCTGATGACCTGCACACGACCTGACCTCGCATACCCTCTTAGCATTCTCGCACGCTATGTTGCTCCTGGGAGACACAGACCGGAGCACATGGCTGCAGCGAAGAGGGTGTTGCGTTACTTGTGCAGTACGTCGGGCATGGGGCTTGTGCTTGGAGGGCAGAGTCCAGTGGTCCTCACTGGGCACGCAGACGCTTCTTGGGCTGACGACCAGGCTACGCAGCGGTCGTCACAGGGTTACACCTTCAGCCTTGGTTCCGGCTCTGTTTCGTGGCGGGCTACCCGCTCGTCTTCTGTTCTCGGCTCCAGTTGTGAGGCTGAGATCTACGCCGGGGCCATGGCTGCACAGGAGCTTCGCTGGCTCACCTACCTGCTGACTGACCTCGGAGAGCTGCCTCGTTCTCCTCCAGTGCTGTACGTAGACAACAAGGCCATGCTGGCCTTGTGTCGAGAGCAGAGACTGGAGCACAGAACGAAGCACATTGCTCTCCGCTACTTCCTTGCTCGTGAGCTACAGCAGCGTGGTCAGCTGCGGCTTGTGTACGTGGCCTCTCAGGCCAACACTGCTGATAACTTCACCAAGGCACTTGCGCCTTGTGATCATCAGCGCTTCTGTACTCAGCTGGGTCTTGTGCCTACCTTGCCTCACTTGCTCACCCCTTGACCTTGTTTGTACTGTTGCATATATATATACACCTGCTCTTGCTTGTCTAGCCTTATATATATATGTAATCCTGCATGTGAACTGGCCTTGTGGCCTTGACTTTGTGCTCGGAATGTGTGGTGACTTTGTGATCCACCCTGAGCTTGCTTTGCTTTGCTTGACTGGTCTTGTGACCCCTTGTTCTCCCCCACTTTGCCTATGGGGGTGTGTCAGATTTATATGACATAGCTACTGTAGGCTATAGTGGGGTAGCACATATGGGGTACAGTTTTCTAGGGTTTACATTTGTACCCAACTTTCCCTTAGTCATTCTCATTCCTCGTTTCTTCTCAAATCTAGATTGGATGGACCTTGAGTGACTTTGAGTGCCACATGAGGTGCATGAATAAGAAAACTCTGGATATTTCTGTTATAGCTGATTCTGATGTGTAGAAACCTGTAAAAACTGCCAACACTTCGGTTTGAAGGCAGCTTTGAACTATATCGAGTCTTCGGCTGAAATCTGATTGGTGATGGAACTTTCGAAGTACTTCCCGAAGCTCTGATTCATCGCCGACATTCCCCCTTGCTGCTTGTGTGCAAAGGGCTGGGGCGGCAGAAACTCGATTCTCCAACACTCTTCGCTAGGAAGCGGATAGGATGGGACGGATCCGTGCTGAACGGTGCACAGAGCTGAAATGCATGCAAGATTTATGAGGGCGCATTCTGTCCGGACGGTTACGAACAAAGAACTTCGTAACAAAATGATTGCCATACGACTTTCAAAGTCTTCTCACAACTACATGCAATCCTAGCCTTTGACGAAAATTCCCAGCGTTGGCTTACCAATTGGGATGTTTCCCACCACTAAATAGGTTCGGGTTGTGCGACAACTCATCTGGAATACGCCCTGAGAGACCCGAGCCATGCAGGCGCCTCAAATACCCCCTAGAAACCTATTGATACCGATATGAACTAAGGTGCACCGCACAAAACGAACTTACAGAAAGAGCATAACCTTCTGCTGCGTTTTGTTTCGCTTCTCGATGCCCTTGTAAAGGAATTGCTACATCAAAAGAGAGCTATAACGTGAGGACGCATTCTTAGCTTGCTATTTCAAAATCCCGCTTATCACTTGCAGCAACCGCGCCCCCACGCTCTCATCGCGCGTCACGAGCGCCGCGCGTCGTCGGCAGACGCTCCCCGTCACACGCAGCTGCCCGGATTGTCGGTTCGCGTCGTTCTCCCCCTCGTGTGCTCCAGGGAACCCCTTCCGCCGCTTACGCCGCTTCCGTCCATTCCGTCCATTCCGCCCCTTCCGCCCCTTCCGCCGCTTCCGCCGCTGCGCCGCCGGGCGGAGAGAATGGACCAGCGGCGTAACACTCAGGTACGTCCCTCCCCAGCCCTCCGTGCGGCGCGGCCCCTCCCGCGCCCTCTCCCGCCCTCTCCAGCCCTCCCCCGCCCTCCCCCGCCCTCCCTCGCGGACGCCACCATCGCCTGCCCTCGCCCCTCGCGCTGCTCCCGCCCCCGTGGTGCGCCACACTCCCTTCCCCCCACTGCGCCCTGCCGACCACAGTGCGCCGGCCCACCACAGTGCGCCGGCCCACCACAGTGCACCGGCTGACCGCAGCGCGCCGGGAGGGGAGGCGAGCGAGCAGTGGGGGGAGGCGAGCGCGCAGCGGGAGGAGGCAAGCGCATAGTGGGGGGGGGCACATCCGCACACAAGGCCACCTCCTCTGCTGAACTTTGAAACTCCCATCCCCACCCAAAGCCCCTTCACTCACCTTCTCTCTGCCACCCCTCTTCCTTGCAGTGACGTGACACGTCAACGCACCTCATCGTCGCCGCACCCCCTCCTGGCCGCACCCCCTCCTGGCCGCACCCCCTTGTCATCACACCACACCCCACCCTTGCGGCCGCACACAGTGCAGCACGTGTCCAGGGGGGCGGGGCGGAGGGCACAACTCGTGAGATTTCTTGATAGCAGCGACGAGCGCCCCTTGAACCGCGGAGAGGCCGTTGGGCAGGCGAGGGTAGCTGAGGAGCGGCCCCTGTAGCAGCAGGAGCTGCCTAGAGGAAAGCAGCGAGCAGGCGAGTAGGCGAGCAGGCGAGTAGGCGAGCAGGCGAGTAGGCGAGCAGGCGAGCAGGCGAGCAGGCGAGGGAGCTGGTGTGGCCCTGCAGTAGGGAGCAGCGATGGGGGCGCCGAAGCAGAAGTGGACGGCGGAGGAGGAGGGGGCGCTGAGGGCGGGGGTGGATAAGTACGGCCCGGGCAAGTGGCGTGCCATTCAGAAGGACCCTGCTCTTGGGCCTCTTCTTACCCACCGCTCCAATGTTGATCTTAAGGTGTGTGTGTGCGTGGTGAGAGGCCAAGGTGTGAATGTCCCCCTGCTGCTGGGCTCAATCTGGAGCCTCCAGGTGCGCGTGCCCCCCCCCCCCCCCCCCCTCACAACCCCCACTCTGCTCGGCCCCTTGCTCACCCACCACCACTGCAACGGCGAAGGAGGAGAGGAGGGGGCGGGGGTGGACAAGTACGGTCCGGGCAAGTGGCGCGCCATCCAGAAGGACCCTGCCCTTGGGCCCTTGTTGACTCATCGCTCCAATGTTGATATGAAGGTGTGCTGCTACTGGGCTTAGGGTGTTCTGGTGTGTTCTGGGGCTCAGGGAGGGCGGGGGTGGATAAGTACGGCCCGGGCAAGTGGCGCGCCATTCAAAAGGACCCCGCGCTCGGCCCCCTGCTCACCCACCGCTCTAATGTGAACCTCAAGGTGGGATGGGCTGGGGTGTGCTGGGGTGTGCTGGGGTGTGCTGGGGTGTGCTGGGGTGTGCTGGGGTGTGCTAGGGTGTGCTGGGGTGTGCTGGGGTGTGCTGGGGTGTGCTGGGGTGTGCTGGGGTGTGCTAGGGTGTGCTGGGGTGTGCTGGGGTGTGCTGGGGTGTGCTGGGGTGGGCTCAAGGTGTGCCACACCTTAAGATCAACACCTTGCTCTTGGGCCCCTGCTCGCCCACCGCTCTAATTTCGACCTCAAGGGGTGCCCACCGGTGGCAGCAGCAGCGCCAGAGCCAGTGCAGTGCCAAGGGGTGCGGGCCCCCAGGGAGCAGCGGGCAGTAGCAGCAGCAGCAGCAGCGGTGTGGTGTTGCCCCCCTCCTTTCCTAACCCCCACCTCTCTACTCCGTTCCACCCCTCTCCCCACCTCCCCAACCTTCCCCGCTCACCCATCCCCCCCTCCTCCCTCACCCACTCCCCACCAACCCCCCCCCCCGCCTCCCTCCCCCCCCCCCTCCCCCTCCTCACAGGACAAGTGGCGCAACATGACAGCAGCAGCCAATGGCGGCAGTAGAAGCAGCGCCAGTGCAGTGGTGCCCCTCTCCTTCCCTCCTCCCGGCCCCACCCCACCCTCCACCCCCCCACAGGACAAGTGGTGCAACATGACAGCAACAGCCACTGGCGGCAGCAGCAGCGCCAGTGCAGTGGTGCCCGTGCCTCGGGTGCGCGCCCCCAGGGAGCAACGAGTGCCCCAACCCCCACCTGTTCCCCTCTCCCCATCACTTCCACCCCCCCCTCCCGTCACAGGACAAGTGGCGCAACATGACAGCAGCAGCCACTGGCGGCAGCAGCAGCGCCACTGCAGTGGTGCCCGTGCCACGCGTGCGCGCCCCCAGGGAGCAGCGGGCGGCAGCGGCGGCGGCACGCGCTGAGCTGGCAGCAGTCGTGGCGATGGAGGAAGAGGAAGACGCCCTATTGGCCGCCGCTGCTGGCAGCGACGCTGACGTGGCTGCTGACGTGGCTGATGGCGCTGATGATGGTAGTGGGGCTGCTGACGCGGATTTTGCTGGTGGGGGGAGTTATGGGGGCGCAGGGGCGGGGGAGAGTGGTTCTATGGGCGGGGCTGCGGGGGGGGCGGATGGGGAGGCGGGGGGGGAGGGCGTGGGTGGGGGGAGCGCGAGCAGTGGGCGCACTGGCAGTCGGGGGGGGACGGGGGAGGAGGGGACGTGGGCTGTCGTACCCTCTGCTGTTGCTGGCGCTGCTGGTGGTGCTGCTGGCATGGGTCTACCTGTCACCGGCAATGCAAGGTAATGTGTGTGGTGCTGCTGCTGCTGCTGGCTGTAGGGATGTTGCATGTGAGGCGTTGCTTCAATGCGATATCAATGCAGTTGCTGGTGCTTGCCTCTTGTTCCTTGCCTTTTGAGGCGCCTCAAAAGTCGTCTTTTGAGGCGCCTCAAATGTGAGGCATAGGTTCAATGCGATGTCAAGGCCGTTTCTGGTGCTTGCCTCTTGTTGCTTGCTGCCGCACCATTCAACGAGCATACTTTATCAGCTGAATGAAGCATTGCGCGGCAGATTCGAAGCCTGCTAGCAATGTAATATGTGGGATTATCTGGTGCTTACCCCTTGCTGCTTGCTGCCTCGGTTTTCATATCTTGTGGCATGCTCCCGCATGGCACGAGATGGCATGGCATGACACTGCACCTCACCTCACGGCATGGCATGACACTGCACCTCACCTCACGGCATGGCATGACACGGCACAGCAGGTTGGATGAGGCGATCATGATGGCCGTGGCGTCACTGGAAGCCTCACAGGCAGCGCATGGGTGCTCCGCTGCAGCTGTTGTGAAACACATTGAGGTGCGCCCCTGGCTTTAAGAAAATTATCTGATGGTTCTGACTCTATCCATCACACCGCACTGCATCACACCACACCACATCACATCACATCACATCACATCACATCGCATCGCGTCGCATTGCATCGCATCAAATCACGTCACATCACACCTCATCTCGTGTCACTGTTTCGCCTCACACTGCACCGCATCACATCACATCACATCACATCACATCACGTCACGTCACGTCACATCACATCACATCACATCACATCACATCACATCACATCACATCACATCACATCACATCACATCACATCACACCACATCACATCACATCACGTCACATCACATCACATCACATCACTCCACATCACTCCACATCACGTCGCATGCCCATGATATCACATCACATCACAAGCCCATGATATCACATCACATCGCTCCGCTTCACATCACAAGCCCATGATATCACATTCCATCATCGCACCACACCGCGCCGCTCAGCGCATCACAAATCTCCCCTCCTTGCCCCATTCCCCCACCTCTCCCCTCCCCCGATCCCCCCCCGGGACAAGCATGCACCACCATCCCATATGCACTGCCCGTGAAATTCGCTGGCAGTATCAATCCCGCTTCCCACTCGTTCTTTCGGTTCTCCGCCTCCCCCCACCTCGTCTCGCACACCTCCTCAGGACCACCATGCATCACCACCCAATCTGCGCCGCCTCGTCCCGCATCGCCTCAAAGCGCTCTCAGAGGAGGGCTGTCTGGTGAAGGTGAGAGCAGGGCTGTCTGGTGAAGGTGAGAGCAGGGCTGTCTGGTGAAGGTGAGAGCAGGGCTGTCTGGTGAAGGTGAGAGCAGGGCTGCCTGGTGAAGGTGAGAGCAGGGCTGCCTGGTGAAGGTGAGAGCAGGGCTGCCTGGTGAAGGTGAGAGGAGGGCTGCCTGGTGAAGGTGAGAGGAGGGCTGCCTGGTGAAGGTGAGAGCATTGCTGAAACACCTTCACTGTCTGCCTTGCAATACACCTCTGGACCTCCACTCTCACGCCCACCCACGCAATGGCAGCTGTCGCACCTTCACTTCTTGCATCGCATGCTCACATGCTCTTAATGCCACACCCTCCCCCACTGGCAGGTGAAACAGCTCTACTATCTCCCTCGCAACGCACCTCTGGCCCTCCTCTCTCACTCCCACTCGCACGCCCACTCGCACGCCCACTCCCACACCCTCAACCATGACCAAGGGCCAGGGCAAAGCCATGTGTCAGGGCAAGCGCAAGGGCAGGCGCAGGTGCAAGGGCAAGGGCAAGGGCAAGCACAGGTGCATTCCCCTGCATCTGTCCGGAGGGCACGGGGGGACAGTAGGCGGGCTAGCTGGCATGGGGAGGGGATGGATGGGGAGGGTGCGGGGAGAGGGGGGTGGGGGGGAAGTGGCAAGTGGGAGAGTGAGGAGGGGAGGGTGGAGTGGGGAAACCGAGGGAGTGTGAGGAGGAGGGACGGTCGGAGTGGCAGGGTGGGCAGTGGGAGTGCTGCAGAGAGGGCGGGGGAGGGTAGAGCCAGTGGGGCAGCAACAGAGGGAAGGGCGGGTGGGGCTGCTGCAGCAGCATCAACAGCAGCAGCAGGGGTGGAGCATCATTTAGGCATGCGTTCTACAGCTGCTCTTCACTCCTCTACCCCCTCTGCCCCCACTGCTGCTGCTGCCGCTGCTCCAGTGGATCGAATAGCAGCAGACCTGTCACAGGCCCACCTCTCCCCTCTGCATACCACCCATATGCCATCTCATGCCTCTGCTGCCGCCGCCACCGCCGCCGCCGCCGCCGCTGCTGCTGCTGCAAGCACGGGTGGTGCTGCTCCCAATGCTCCTACCGTGTGCCATTTCAAGAAACTTCGCTTCCCCTCGCAGCAGTCAGCAGAAGCAGGAGGAGCCAGCGAAAGGGAACCAGGCGCGCGAGACCAGACCGAAACGGGAAGAGCAGGCGAGGGTGTGGGAGAAGGAGCAAAGGAGGGGAAGGCGGTGGGTGCAGCGCAGAGTGCGTGGTTGCAAGAGCTGGCACGGAAGGCAGCAGAGGCGATGGCAGAGGCAGAGGCAGCTGTAGCAGAGGCGGAGGCGGCAATGAGAGAGGCGGAGGCCATGGAGGCTGAGGCAGAGGCAGCAGAGGCGGCAGCGACAGAGCTGGAGGGCAGAAGGCAAGCTGCTGCCGTCAGCTCATAGCAGTTGGAAAGCGGTAGGAGACGCGGTAGGGGAAGCGGCAGGGGAAGCAGCAGAGGAAGCAGCAGGGGAAGCAGCAGGGGAAGCGATGGGTGCCGGATGGCAGCAGAGGCGATGGCAGACGCGATGGCAGAAGCAGAAGCAACAGTGGGGAGGGCAGAGGAGGCAGTGAGAGAGGCGGAGGCCATGGAGGCTGAGGCAGAGACAGCAGAGGCGGCAGCGAAGGAGCTGGAGGGCAGAAGGCAAGCTGTTGCCGTCAGCTCTTATGTCTTCACTGCTGCTGTCAGCTCGTAGCTGTTTGGCTGAGAAAAAGCCTTAGGATCTTTTAGAGTTTAGTCCTTGTAATGTAATGCAGCGGAAGACTTGAATTCCTGTGCTGGTTGAATGTGAGAACAAAAATTGATAATAATGAAAAAAATACAAAATCCATATTCAAAGATGTACCTATTCAAAGATGTCTATATAGTTTGGCAAAGTACCTATTCAAATATGTACCTATTCGTGAACAGAGCTTTTGTCGAGTCGACTCCTGAAGTGGTACTTTCTTGTGTCACGCGAACAGTCTCGCGACTGTTCGCGCTACTACCCTGTACGGTACCTCTCCGTCGTCTGTCTCGGCTCTTACTGCCGCTGTCGCTGACTTTGCTGCCACCCGCCACCTTGACTTCGCCACGCGTGTAGAGGCTGCTCCGCCTGCTCGTTCTCTGTCCGTCGGGGTTGAGTTTGCCCTTGGCTGTGACGTCCTAGAGGGCAGGCAGTTTGAGATGGAGTTCTTGGCAGCGGCTTCTCCCTCTCTCTGTGCCATGCTACTTTCCCCTGAGGGAGACCCCGACGCCCTTGACATTCCGACTCCTCGCACGTACCGTGAGGCAGTGTCAGGGCAGTGTCAGTAGATCTGCACTGTGTATGCCCAATTGATCCTAGGGGGGGTTACAGGCGCGTTCGCCTGTGGGGTTATGGGCGCACAAACCCGCTACACAAACAAGCCCTTTTATCCCAATGGTCTAAGTGGTTGGGATCTGACATGGTATCAGAGCGGTCTCGGGTTCGAATCCCGGTGTATGCACATGTAGGCCGTTGCCACTGTGCTCAGTCCTGGGCCTCCCAGTGTGGGGGGTGTGTCAGTAGATCTGCACTGTGGATGCCCGATTGATCCTAGGGAAGGGTTACAGGCTCGCTGGCCTGGGAGGTTTTGGGCGCACTGACCTGCTACTTAACAAGCCATTTTATCCGAATGGTCTAGTGGTTGGGATTCTGACATCGTATCAGAGCGAAGGTCTCGGGTTCGAATCCCCATGTGTGCACATGTTGGCGATGCCGCTGTGCCGTGTCCTAGGGCATCCCTGTGCGGGGGGGTGTCTGAAAACCAACACTGGGGATGCCCGATTGATCCTAGGGAAGGGTTACAGGCTCGCTGACCGGGGGGGTTATGGGCGCACTGACCCGCTACTTAACAAGCCATTTTATCCCAATGGTCTAGTGGTTGGGATTCTGACGGGCAGTGGGCCTCTCAGTGGAAAACGGCCATGGACTCAGAGATGGCGTCTTTGAGATCCACAGGCACCTACGTCAACGCAGTTCCCCCTCCCAGGGCGAATGTAGTCGACGGCATGTGGATCTTCAAGGTGAAGCGGCCGCCTGGATCACCGCCTGTCTTCAAGGCGCGCTACGTGGCTAGGGACTTCAGTCAGCGTGAGGGAGTTGACTTCTTTCAGACCTTCGCCCCGACCCCGAAGATTACTACTCTTAGGGTGTTACTTCACATAGCAGCAGAACGAGACCACGAGCTGCACTCCCTCGACTTCTCCACTGCGTTTCTCCAGGGCCGCCTACACGAGGAGATTTGGCTGCGGTGTCCTCCTGGCTTCACCGACACTTTCCCTCCTGAGACCCAGTGGAGCCTGATACGACCAGTCTACGGTCTCCGCCAGGCGCCCCGTGAGTGGCACGACATGCTATGCACAACTCCGGCTGACCTCGGTTTCCGCCCTTCGTCCGCCGACCAGTTGCTGTTTGTTCGCAGTGGCTCCACTCCTTTCTTTGTCCTTGTCTACGTCGACGACTTGGTCTTCGCTACAGCAGACAGGGTCGCTCTGGCTGAGGTGAAGTCCAAACTACAGAAGAGACACACTTGTACTGACCTTGGTGAACTGCGCCGCTACGTTGGCTTGCATATCACCAGGGACAGAGCCGCTCGCACCATTACACTCTCACAGTCACACATGGTGCAGCAGGTCCTTCAGCGGTTCGGGCATCCGTTCTCCACCACACAGCCCACTCCTCTTGCTGTCGACCACATACTCACCGACCCTTTTTCCCGACGAGCCCTTTGAGTCTAGTGGTCCCTACGCCGAGCTTGTAGGCTGCCTCATGTACCTCATGACTTGTACTCGTCCAGACCTCGCCTTTCCCCTCAGCGTTCTCTCTCACTTTGTAGCGACTCAGAGACACCGTCCGGTGCACTGGACGGCTGCTGTGAGGGTGGCGAAGTACCTGGCGACTACATCAGGCGTGGGGCTTGTGCTTGGAGGGACAGAGCCAGTTGTACTGACCGGTCACTGCGACTCTTCGTACGCCGACGACGTGGAGACCCAGCGGTCTACTCAAGGGTACTGCTTTAGTTTGGGTGCTGGAGCTATGTCGTGGAGGTCTACTCGATCGTCGTCTGTGGCATAGTCCAGCGCAGAGGCAGAGATCTACGCAGGTGCCATGGCTGCACAGGAGCTTCGTTGGTTGAATTTCTTGCTCACTGACCTTGGTGAGCGGTGTCAACGGGAGTTGTGTGTTGGCCCCGTCCTCGCTTGGGCGGAGCCGACTTCGTGGTCGGGTATGAGGGGAGCAGCTGACCTGCAGCAGTGGGCGAGCTGGTTGACGAGGAGGTCGACCTGCACGGGGGCCACTGCACGGGCGCCGACTTCAGGGTGGCGCCGACTTCAGGGAGGTCGACCTGGGAAGTCGACCTGCGGAGGGCGTCGACTTGGTGACGCCAACTTGGGGCAGCCGACTTGGGTGGTCGGCTGACAGGCCTGCTGGTCGACTTGGTGGTTGGTCGACCAGGCGTGATGTCGACCTGGTGGTCGACCTGACCTGGTGGTCGATGGAGGAGGGGCCGACGTCGACCACGACTCAAGACGCCGAGCAGCCGGGCGTCGAGTAGCAGGGCGTCAACTTGGTGACGCCGACTTTGGGTAGCCAACTTGGGTGGTCGGCTGACAACGGTGATGGTCGACGTGGAGCTGGTCGGCCAGTAGCGACGTCGACCTGGAGCTGGTCGACCTAGGGTGTGGTCGACCTAGTGAGGTCGACTGGAGGTGGTCGTCGACTTGGGAGGTCGACGGGCACGTACAGGAGCATCTGGTCGACGTGGTTGCCCGGTCGACCAGGTTACCTGGGTGACGAGGTTCTGCGGAGGAGTACGACAGTCGCCCAGGCGATGTTGGCGAGACCAACCTCGGTGGTGATATCCCGAGGTCGACGTGGCAGATCAGGCGCAGTCGTCAGCACGAGGACGACTTGGTGTGTGCGCTGTGCAGGTGACGAGGCACAACACGCCAATCATCTGCGAGCACCTGCGAAGTAGGTGCGCTGCTGTTCTGCGGGAGCAACGCTGGCACGCCGTCAACTTGCAACGTTGGCACGACGTCGACTTTGCACTGCTGGAGCGCGGTCGACCAAGTCGTGCTGGAACGCGGTCGACCATGCTGCGATGGCAGTCGACCGACCTGAATGCTAGCTCTGATGTAGTCTTGTCTTGCCAACTTCATTGCACCATTGTTGTCAACCTTTCTTAGTGAAACTCTTGCCAAATTTCCCCGTGAACTAGCAAGCAGTGTGTGCACTAGGAAAACGTCTAAGGACCAACGAACGCAGAGATCACACGAGCACCCGTGCCTAGCCCGTAGTCTAGCTCCCGTTGTAGTAGTTATCTCCGCGTGGTGCGGTGAGCGTGGATGGCACACGACTTACCTTTCAGTCAGGTCGACGTAGTGGTCACTTACCTAAGTTGCTCGTAGGCCGGCAGCCGTGCAGTCACTAGCGTGCGCGTAGGTGACACAGAGGTGATGGACACCCTGGAGGCACAGCTGGAGGATGCGAGGAGACGCCATGAGGCCCAAGAGTACGGGGCGATACCCAGGGCGGTCGTCAAGGCTGGACTCCGCACCATGTGGGCGACGGAGCATCCCCCTTCTCGACCAGCTTCTCCTCGACGGGTGACCAACGGAGGCGGCGTCGACGTGGGCGTCAACGCCGGAGGTGGCCAAGTCGGCAGCAGTGTGGGAGGCACGTCGAGGCAGCGAGGTGTGATACACGCCTGCAACCGAGCTCGGCGGATTCTCGCCACCATCAGGATGGCCGGCGCGCAGTACTCGACGGCGTCGTACGTCACCCATGTCATGCAGGGACTCTCGAGCAGCTACAATCTCCTGAAGCGGCTGTCAATGGCGTCGAGCACGAGGGCGACGCTCAACGAGGACAACTTGACCTCGTACATCCTGCAGGACGAGGCGATGCAGGAGGCTGAGCGGTCCCAGGAGCTCTTGGCGCAGGCGAACTTCGTCGCCCCGGCGAAGCAAGGAGGTCGACCGGGGCAGCGCGGACAGTCTGGTGGCGGTGGTAGCAGTGGCTGGAAGCCGGCCAAGGAAGTCGACTAGAAGAAGTCGACCAATGACAGCGGTCGAGGAGGAGGAGGTCGACGTCGGGAGTGCTGGCTATGCGGCGACCCCGACCACCTCTCCTTCGAGTGCCCCGACCGCAGCGACTACGACGACGATGACGCAACGGGAAGCCGAGGGAGGTCGGCTGGGCGTCGCCCTCGCCGGGAGAGTAAGCCGTGCAAGGAGAAGCAGTCGACGAAGTCGACCTCGGCGAAGGACGCCGACTCCTTTGCTGGCGGCAAGGTGCGAGACGACAAGGCGGCGTCGTGCTCGCTGGTCGGCGTGGTGGAGCCGACCGTCTCGCTCGCGCCGGAGGCCGGCGAGGACTTCCAGGCGGTGGCGGCAGCT